CTGAAAATGAGAAGAAGAAAACAATATAAGTTTGGTAGGGGAAGAAAGAATAAAGGTTTGAGAGACATAGCATTTATTTTAGGAGTAGAGGCCACTGAAGTTCTGCAGGTAGCTGGAGAGCTGACTTAGAGGTTAATTGTACTGGTTGCTCTTCCAGAGGACCCAGGTTCAATTCCCACCACCATGGCAGTAAGCATGTGGGACATGTTCTTCTGGCTCTTCAGACACCAGGCACATACATGGTACACAGATATACATGCAGGCAAAGCATTCATACACATAAAATGAAAATAAATTTAAAGGAAAAGTTATGTAGTACTTGGCTTTCTTTTTACCAGAGATATATATTTGGCACGTGTCCATTTAAAAGTCATTTGCAAAAGAAAGAAGTTGGGAATGTGGGAGAGGTAACATGCTAGAAGGAGCAATCCTGAAAGTTTTGTGGCTGCTTTTATGGTTTCCAGATGAGAAGGACCACATTCAGGCATCCCCTTGAAGCAGGGTCCATCCTCTGGGGACTGAAGGAGCTGGGTCTCAGAAGTTACCATAAGAAGGGATTGCTCCAAGGCACTGGCTGGATCAGAAAAAAAAAAAAAACATTTACTTTGGGACTATATTAACTCCCTACAAGCAGGTGACACTTCCATAATAGGCTTACAGGAAGGTGTGGCAATTTAAGTCTATAATCCTAAAACTTTTCAGGAAGAGGCAGGACATCTCTGCTCTAAGTTAAAGGCCAGCCTGGTCTACATGTTGAGTTCTAAATGAAACAAGGAATTAAGCAGAACCCCATCTCAAAAAAAATTCAAAATTGTATTAAATTTGTCTTACAAAGCAGCTATAAGATCCTAAGGTATGCCTAAAAATTAAAAATAGATGTGTGAAAAGTATGCATCTGTTAGTGGAATGGCAGATGTCAGAGGCTTTCACGAGCACTGTCTTTTGAGAAAATTATGCTGGTGTACAAGTTACCACAATGGTATAAAGTATGAACTCAGTGGTTAAAATAACAACAGACACTCTCTTCACAATGTCTTATCTGGGTGAGTATAACTTCAAGTCTTTATGAAGTTGCAGTCAAAAATGTCAGCCAGGCTGCAGCCATCTAAAAGGAAGACTGAGCTGTGGGGTTCACTTCCAGGGCAGCTTGCTCACATGGCTCTGAGCAGGAGGTGTGTGAGTGTGCATGCGGGAATGCATGCATGTGTGCCTGCTTGTATGGTCATATGTATTCATCTGCATGTGTGTACATGGACTGGTTGAGACAGAGTTGGGCACAGGTACTCATACTTACATGGCAAGCTGTTTATCAACTGAGCTGTCCTACCTTGGGTTTTTTGAATGTCTTCATTTCGTGGAGTTTAGTTTCTCCCAGAACAGGCAGTCCATGATTGTACAATGCAGGAGCAGTAACGAAACTGTGACCTAACCTCACAAGTCACACACTTTTACTTTTGTCACGGTCAAATGGACCCAAGACTGATACCTTGAGATGAGGCTATGCACATGTATGGACACTTGAGAGGCAAGGACCAATAGGGGATGGCTACACCATCAAACTAACGGATGAGTAACAAGATACTACAATTTGTGTCTATAAGTATGTAAGAACAATAGTAATGAGACATGGAACTGGATTTGAGACCAAAATCTTGATGAAGGACAAGCTCCTTTGTCAGCCCACCATGGTTAAATAAAACTTTAGACATTGTCAAGTCTCCACTTAGAATGATTCAGTTTCAGAGGAGACAGCCCTCTTCCTCTGGTTGTCCTCAGACTGTAAGAATTCCATGGGGTAGGAATGGGCCACACCAGCTCTCCTGTGCTAGCCAGGCTGCAGGCACCGGAGGCCGGCAGTGCACAAAATACTGTGATTCTGCTCATTTACAACCCATTAATAGTTCCTTCCTACAAGCTATTTGGTTTTGGAAATCATACATTAAGACCCTTTATTTATGAAAAGGAAGTCTGTGGTTCCTATTGGTAGTTGATTTCTAGATGTTTTCTCTTTACTAAGTGAATGGGAAATCTCTACCTAAAGAGATTCACTTGAAGGACCCACCCTAAAGGAGCCCTTCAATCATAGCCACTTTCTAAGCAATAAAGGGATGTGGGGACAGGAGAATCGAGCAGGACCCAGATTGTGAGAGGCTCTGAGGACCATATTGTCCTACTTAGGTTTCCTGTCACTGTGACAAACACCATGGCAAGAGCAACTTGGGGTGGCAGGGGCTTATTTCAGCTCACAGTTCCACATCACAGTCCATCATCGAGGGAAGTCAGGGCAGGAACCTGGAGGCAGGAGCTGATGCAGAGGCCATGGAGGGTGCTGCTATTGGCTTGCTCCTCATGGCTTACTAGGCCTGTTTTCATACATAGCTCTCAGGACCACCTGCCAGGTAGACAATGCACACAATGGGCCGGGCCCTCCCACATCAATCACCTATCGAGAAAATGCCCCACAGACTTGCCACTGGCCAATCTAGTGGGGGCATTTCGCAACTGAGGTCCCCTTTACCAAATGGCTCTAGTTTGTGTCAAGTTGGCATGAAAACTATCCAGCACACGTCTGGTCCCCAGAAGACATGTGAAGGTTGACAGAGGTTCGGTGACCCTCAGAGTTTCTAACAGAACAGAGCATCAGCTCAGGGCAACAAAAGAAACCGTGTCCAAAAAAGAAAGAAAGATAGAAAGGAATGAGGTATTTTACACACTAAGAGTGAACTGCCTACTCTCCTAATCCACATACAACATCAAGAATGTGTGGAAAGGTCTCATATTAAACAAGGAAGAAAACCCATCTTTGAGCTACATTTAGAAGACAGCTGGATGTACACATTTTCTGTTAAACAGTCGAGACTCTATGAATTGTTGCAAACTGTCATTCCTTAAGCATTTTCCTCAAGAGTGTTTGGAAATAGCATTTCCTAGCATTTGCCCTTATAGCACAAAAAGTGCACTTTGCTGGCACTTGAAAAAAATAGCTATTGCGTTTGTCCACTGGGCGGTCTTCTGAGCTCTTAGGTTTTGTTTCCCGAAAGTGATCACAGAAGTACTGTTTGCTTTAACCTGACCCATCTTTTGCAACCCAGCTTAATCATTTTACAGGTTTTCTTTGGAAATAAATGAGATAGATACTTGAAAAATAGGGGCAGATTTTTCCATTTAAATGATATGTATAAAAGAAATACTGCTAGTGAAATAGTGTATAAATTTTTCTTTCTACTTCCTGTTCTTTTAACAAATTCAGTATTAAAGTACTGCTAAATAGCACCTTACTAATTTAAAGTCAGGGATACCATTGCCAGTGTGACAAAAAACTCTAACTTACAGGACTGTGCTGAGATATCTCTTCATCATCATCATTTAAATCATTATCATTATTATTACCTAGATAGGGTCTCATGTTGCCCAGGCTAGTCTCAAATTCACTATGTGGCTGAAGATGACCTATAATTTCTGATCCTCCTGCCTCTACCTCCTGAGTGCTGAGATTACAGGTGTACACTCCCACACCTGATATTCATGAGAGTCTGGGCCTCCAGCCATGGCTTGAGCATGCTAATCAGGCCCTCTACCAACTGAAATACACCTCCAGCTCCAGGACATTTCTTCTATTACCTTGAAGTATACATCATATACTAATGTACAAATGAATGCTAACAAAAGGGAAATGTAAATAAAATTGTCTAACTTACATAAAAATAAGTTTAATTAATATTACCATTTACATAATTATTCTAAATTAAAAATGAGTTATGAAAATCATCTGTTGTGAGGTCTAGTAGTACATGCTTTTAATCCCAGCACTCAGGAAGCAGAGGAAGGTGGATCTCTGTGAGTTCAAGGCCAGCCTGGTCTACAGTGAGTTCCAGGACTGCCTGGGCTATATAGAGAGACCCTGTCTCCAAAAAATAAAACCTGTTTTTTTTTTTTTAAAGAAAGTTGTAATTCATCTCTGTTCATGTTAAGTTCTTGTCTTAAACTATTGATATCCTATCTGAAAAGCATGAACATTTAAAAATGAAATATTCTATTACTGATGGCATGCAAATTTTGGAAGAGTGACAAGTGGGTTCATAGAGACACATCCCCTGTTAAGGACTAAGTGGCTGATTGGTCAGGGAATCGCATGAGCATCTCTCCTGGGTTTCCAGGCAGTTACAACCTTTTCTCCATCCTATTCTCTAGACTAGGAGGGACCATGTGATCTAGTTCTTGGACTGCCTCTGTAGATCTAGGTTACCCTCGACTAAAACCAGTATCAAGGATGCAATTGCCACTTCTCTAGCTCAGACTTTTTATCTCTATCTATCTATCTGTCTGTCTGTCTGTCTGTCTGTCTGTCTGTCTATCTATATCATTTATTTATTTGGCTTTCAAAGACAGAGCTTCTCTGTGTAGCCTGGCTGTCCTGGAACTCACTCTGTAGACTAGGCTGGCCTAGTACTCACAGAAATCCCCCTGCCTCTGCCTCCTGAGTGCTGGAATTAAAGGCCTGGCCAAACTCATTCTAAAATCATCCATTTAAAATGAAATCCAAGTAAGTTTTCTGTCAATCTTAGAAACCAATGAAACTTGCCAGAATCAAGCTTGAAGGTAGCAGGGTGTCACAACAAAGGACCTGGATGAGAGAAGAAAGCCGAAACAAAGTGACTCCTGGCTCCCCACACCGAGCCTCCCCCACATTGGCAAGCACCCAGGCCCCTGCTTTTACTTGGATTCATAAAATAAGCCCCTGGGTCTAAGTTGATGCCAAACACCCCAGTCTTTCTTACTGGACATGACAGGATGTTAAAACGTGTTTTATGTTCATTAAAACATCCTCTTGTGCCCATTCCTGATTTTAGCTTTCTCACTTAAAGTTTTTTTCCTCTGGCATTAATAATTAACCAGAGAACTAATTTACCCAAATTCTTCCAACTCTGTTTACTTAAAAGAAAAGTAGCTACAAGACGGCCATGCCCATGGGTGTATGCCATTTCTAGCCATTTCTAGCCATGGGAATTTGGGGGACACTTTGCTTTTTAATTTTCCTGGACAAAACCTGGGGACAGGAACAAACGTAAGTAAAATAAGCCATCTTCATTTTCCTGGTCATCTTAGTTGTGGGGAGTGAAAAGGAGATTCAGGGCTGTGTTGATTTGACAATAACCGTCCCATTCTGAAATAATAAAAGGATAGTTTCAGCTGCTCATGAGAGAGCTGAGGACACATCTGGATTTGGGGAACAGCTAACAACACAACTGTTTCTTTGGGATGTCAAAGTCAAACCAAGATAATCAATTATTTTTTCACTTATCACCTACTTGTACTTGGTACTTAGTTTGTAATTTTCCTGTTCTAAGTGCAGTGAATTCAGAGTAACTTGAATACCGTAGTTGCTAATAATCATAATTTTATTTTAATTAATGATGTATAAGATTACTAATGGTGGATCATGAAGCATTCCCACTAAGGAATAAAATTTAAAACTATGGTTATAACCACATCTATATTCATAAACCAATTTGTCATAATTTTATTGTTACTAAAATCTTGCCTTAAAATAGTGCTGTGATGTGTACAAATATCTTAGTATTGGAAGTTAACTGAAAAGTATCTCACTGAACTATTCTTTTCCTTTTCTTCTTTTTAAGATGAGGTTTCACTATGCTATCTAGGCTGGTCTCAAATCATGTGCCCACATGAACCTCTGCCTTCAGCTCCCTGGCTAACTGGTACTAAAGACCTTGGTAATGTGTGGAGCCTGCTCAGTCCACATCCGATGGCAAGTCTAGACAGAAGAAGGGCCTGGCCAAAGGTCACACTGCTAGGGAGAGAGGATTTTTACTGAGGTCTCCTGTTTAGCACTTCACTTCCTCTCTGACTCTGTCAAAATTGTGTCTGCAGAAATACAAATGTCAGGAAATGTGGACTAATGCCATAAGCCTGACACACACGTCTACTCTCAGATTTTATTGCAAGGTCACAGTCATCCATGAGTACTACTAGCTACTCTTATATATTCCTTTTTGACAGACAAGCAATTGAAATGCAGGGACAGTAAAGATTAAACATCAGAACCTAGACCTTCATGATTCTTGTCCAGGGGTATTCAGAATTCTTCCTGCTCTACTGCAATGGCCCATACTATAAAAGTATTTCCTCTCAGGAAACATGAGGAAGCCTGCCACCACTGCACAGTAGTTAAGCACTTTGCTGATTTAGCAAATAATTTTTGAACCCCATACTTGTCAGCTTTCCTGCCACTGGGACAAAATACTGGAATAAGCAATTTAAAGAGGAATTTATTTTGCTCAGATGTCAGAGGTTTTAGTCCTTCACTGCAGGAAGTATGACAGACTGGGCAGCTCCTATGGAGCAGCTCAGAAGTAAAGAAAGAATGCTTGCACTCCAGCCCCTCCCCCTCCCCCATTGCAAGGGATCCCTTGGTCTAAGGGATGGTGTCATTATCCACCTTCAAGGTATGAGGATGACATTCCTTATTTAACTCCCTGAAACCAGCATAGACACAACTGGCCAGATGTGCTTTACTAAGCTACAAGGCATTTTCAGTCCAAAAAAGATGACAATCAAGCCAACTGTCATGACACCTACTTTGTAATAGGTTCTGAAGGTGGGAGAAGACAGTTCCTAGAGCTTGCATTCTAGTTGAAGAAGCAGATAATGAATGAATGAATGAGCCAATGACAGAATCAATGAGCCTATGATAGAATGAATGAGCCAATGGCAGAATGAATAAGTCAATGAAAGACAAATTATCCAATGACAGAATGAAGGAGTCAATGACATAATGAATGAGTCAATGGCAGAATTCACGAGGCAATAGCAGAATGAATGAGCCAATGAAAGAATGAATGAGCCAATGGCAGAATGAATGAGTCAATAAAAGAACAAAGTATCCAAGGACAGAATGAATGAATAAGGACAGGCAGTTCCAGTAGTATAAAGAAAACAGGAGAATACAGAAACCAAAGGCCACATTTAAGGCTCTGGACAGAAAAGGTTCTCTGACAAAGGTGATATGTAGCTGGAGCCTGGAGGAAATGAGGTAATGCCATACAAATATCTGCAGAACTATAAAAACAACCCAAGTAATACCTGTCTCTGAGCATGCTCTATGGCCTGAGCTTCTGAGAGTGTGGAAAAAATATAGAAGGTAAAATTTCTTTGCATGTGCAGACTTCGTAGCTGGTGCATCAATCTGGACCAAAGTGTATAGAGGTGGGTAGGCATGCATATTACACCACAAATATAGGTAGGTCAAAGGACACCTACTAAGAGTCAATTCTCCCTTTCCACTATGTGTGTTTCTGGGATCAAACTCAGGCCATTAGTCTTGGTAGCAACTGTCCTTATGTGCTGAGCCTTCTTGCTAGCCGATAGCCACCTTAAAATGTGTGTGTGTGTGTGTGTGTGTGTGTGTGTGTGTGTGTGTGTGTGTGTGTGTACGTGCATGCATAGAGGCTGGAAGATGATGTTGGGTCCCCCAATGCTGGAATTTATCAAAAACTTTATAAGACCAGCTTCTAGAGTTTTCCCTCATGGTTCAAAAGGGGAACTATAAATAAGCAAAGGAACTAAAATCTAAGAGAAAATAGAATTGACTCACATATAATTGCTCCTCTACATTTTTTTTCTTTTTCTCTTTCTTGTCTTCTTCTCTCTGTTTCTCCCCAGTTCTTGGGGATACAGGTATATATGTATGTTTGCAACAGTAATTCTTTTTGCTATACAATGTGAGACTTGAGTTTCTCAGGGTCAGCAAGGCAGATAAGATTTACACACAGAGCAATTAACTAAAACTGCTAGGAGAAACTTTTAGCACCAGTTGCTTAGGACTGTAGGTCAAGGAAAGGGTCTAAGTTTAATTTGCACAAGAAACAAAACCTGGCACCTTCCAGTGCTCTGGCCCCAGTGGCTTCACAGGCTTCAGGGGAGTTTACTTTTCCCTGAAGATGAGCAAATGGGCTGATTACCTTTGTCATTATCTTCTCAGGGGAAACACAAGCAGTAAATTTTGGACTAAAATCTTGGGTTAATAAAACAAGAAGTTTGAGAATGTTTTAGTGCACGGTTAGATTAAGTTATCACTTGTTTATCTGCCAGTGAGGTAAAACCAGGGCATGCTTATTTTTTCTATCCATCTAGGCAGCTATGAATCAAAAACTTTGGGTGCATAGTAATTCTATGTCCTTGGATATCTGGGAATGTCTTAGATGGAATGTTTTTGCCTGTGCCCAAAACACTGACCAAATGTCTGTCAATAAGTGTAATTAATTGCAGGAAGGCAGATCTCTGCAATTACAATGGAGAGAACAAGGACCTGAGAATGGGAAACAGGCCTCACACATAGCTAAGGAATGTAATCAGTAAACTAGGACCTGCTAATGGAGAACAGATTTTACACAAAGCTAAGGGATGTGATCAGTAAACTTCAAATGCATGGGAGAAATTGTTCCCAGTAAATGATGAGATAGTGCTAAACTGTGGGACGTAAAACCCAAGTTTGTTGCAGAGAGGAATAAGCTACAGGAAGAATCTACAGCAAGAAACAACCAATTCATTCACAAGACTAAAACACCAAATACAGTCTTGAACTGGTTTAATGCATCAGAAGAACCCTTAATTCTTCTTCGTTGTCTCATGATATGATAGCTGTATAATTACAGTGTGATCCTGTGGCTTGTAGCAAGAGTTACAGGTGGTGACCCACTGTTATTAGTGCTGGGAACCAAAATGAAGTCCTCTGTAAAAGATATACATGCTGTTAGCTGCTAAGCCATCTCTCCAACCCTACATGACCAGCTTTGTATCTACACACTCAGTGCTTTATGTCCTGACCCACAGGACGTCAACCTGGGGCAAGAGAGTTAGGGATAAGGAATGGGGACAAGAGACGAAGAAAGAACAACCACAATACTGAATTCTGATCAAGTGGCAAACTTTATTTTTTTTCTTAGGCTAGCTTATATAGTCGGCAGAGCAGGATATGGGGAGGGGTAGAATGGGATGTTTGTGAGCCAGGATATTATTTAGTGTAGGTGGGATATTAGAAAGCCACAAAGAGGATGTTTGGCAGGGTAAAGAGTTTATGAGTAAGAGGTCCAGAAAGGGTTGCCTAGGTAACTGAGCCTGTGGGTTAAGTTGTTTCTTTTCTTGAGCTGAGGTGCTAAGGAGCTCCTACGTAATGGTTAATATATAACTATGTGGCCGGCCAAGAATGGCCTAGGATCTCATGCCCAGCCCTGAGATTTGGCTTCCAACAGCTTTATGCTTTACCATTCTTACACTCAGTCCGAGGAACCCCAAAAGGACCACCACTAAGGAGACAACTCACCAAATGTAAAGACAAAGGTTTCTTTATTAATCAAGCCATGGCAGGGATCGCACTTGCTTACAGCTAAGGTTTTTTTGTTTGTTTGTTTTGTTTTTTTTGTTTTTGTTTTTTGTTTGTTTTTCGAGACAGGGTTTCTCTGTGTAGCTTTGGAGGCTGTCCTGGCACTCGCTCTGGAGACCAGGCTGGCCTCGAACTCACAGAGATCTGCCTGCCTCTGCCTCCTGAGTGCTAGGATTAAAGGCATGCGCCACCAACGCCCGGCATCTAAGGGGGTTTTTATATGGAAAACCCACAAGGCTGAAACCCTCGAGATTACAAAGTTTCCATGGTTACACAAGATAAAGCAATAACTGTATGTTTAAGCAAGATACAATTGAGCAGGGTAGGACAGTTATCCCATGGGGGTGGGTTACAACCTGTAATTGGTTGTTATCTGGTTTTCTTTAGGACAAAGGAATGTTGACACAGCTGGTGGTGTGTTGACTGTCCCTTAGCCCTCTAGTCACATACTCAGTCAGGAGGTTGAATTCCTTTATCCAGCCCTTTTGTGCTGTCTTAGGGAGCTCAAGATCAGAAATTCCCTTTCTTCCTGTATGGGCTTAGTGGTCTTAAGTATTTTTTTTGTATTAATTTTTCCTATTACATTCCTCCCTTTGTCTTTTGCATCAAGAACCCAAACTTGGGTTCCTGATGGTTAATTCAAAAACTTCTGGGGAAGCCTGGAGCATGAGTTGGTAGACCTGGGATCTCTGAACCATTAACTGAATAGTGCCTAAATGATCTTTCATGAACTGGAGTAGCTTATTAATAATACAGGGGCTGAATGTTAGCAGTAAAAGAAGTATCAGAAGGGGGCCTGTGAGGACAGATATCAGAATAGTCATCCAAGGGGAGCTGTTACACCAGGACTCATACCATCCCTGGCTAGTCTCTCTTTCCCGCCTGTGTTTTTCTAGCCCCTCTCTAATCTTGGCCATTTGTCTTTTATTTTACCTGAGTGGTCTCGGTAAAAACAACCTTCCTCCTTTAGGGCTGCACAAAGGCCTCCCTGTTGCAGGAATAGAAGGTCTAGCCCCCTCCAATTCTGTAGGGCTACCTCTGCTAAGGAGCTTAGGGAGCCCTGTAAATGACTAGTAGAATCCTCAAGTCATTTAAGATCTGAGTCTAAGCCTGGCCTTGCGGTGGAATAGTATTGTCCTTGTTGTATGAGTGCTGTGGTCCTGGTACCTATACTGGCAGCAATTCCTGTCCCCAGAAGGAGATTTGGAGGTATTGCTGTGGTAGGCTCTCTTTTTGTTCTGACAGGTCCCAGCTGACCCAAGTAGAGTGACAGAAACTCTTTCAGTATGATAGGTCAGGTGGGGAAGGAGCCTGATGAGAACACAGAAGCCCCTAGTCTTATTGAGCACCTGTTGGTGGGCACAAGCTGTCAGGCCAGGAGAACAGGCTCACCAAGTGTCATTATGGGGACACTAAATGACTAGGTTGACATGCATTTCTTTTCCTATGTGATCACATATGCAGCTCTCATGATTCAGAGTAGACACTCTGGTAATGAGTTATTAATAGTGTCAAAGTTGACAAAAGAGACAAAATGCTTTTTAAAAGCCATGATTCAAAAGCTTACATAGAATAAGTTCCATTCTTATATAAATTGCATGGAAGACAATTAGAGGTCTGCCTGTGGTTGTTGACGTTACAACATTACAAGTGTAGCACTGACCTCAGTGATATATAATAGCTGAAACAGACCTGGATATAAAGTTCCATCGCATTCTTTTATAAGCCAATTGACCTTGAGAAAATTTGCCTCTGAATGTGTCTAAAATAAGGATAGTCATACAGTCTAAATAGTTTGCAAATGTTAAGAGTTCTGTGTAAATTGCTAACAAAGCCTTCAGCATGTGGCGAGTCCTCATTTACTGCTAGCATTGCTGTTGTATGGTTACTAACATCATTATCATATTTTAGCCTGTTAAGGATCTCCATTACTATTTCGTTTACAGATTGCCACAATATTCCTGTATTCTATCACTGTCCTTAGTCACCCATTTGTTTAGCATATTTCTAAAATTACTTCCTGTTAACTAATTCGTGAATTGTGTCTTTGACTAGTGGCTTTACCTCAGCTGCTCCTCTAGTAAATGTCGAGGCTGATGTTCAGTGGTCCATTCCTATGTTGAAACTTTTTTAAGTTAGAAATAAAAATGACCAAGTTTCATGTTTCAGGCAGCACCATTAAGTTCAATTTGGGTGCAGCATCCCAGGGAGGCTCTATTACTGACTTTGTAAATGTAAACTAATCTTTTAGCTGTTTCTTAGGTTTAAATACAACCTGTTCCTTCCTGGAAAACTTGCACTTTTCCATCATAATATAATTTTACTCTCAAATTATTACTTTAATTTGAAAATATTTGTTTCTTTCTTTATTTGTTTCTTTTTTAATTTTTCCGAAACAGGATGTGTATGTGTCACAGTCCTAGCTGTCCTGGAACTCACTTTGTAGACCAGGCTGGCCTCTTCAAGATCTGCTTGCCTCTGCCTCCTGAGTGCTGGGATTATATGAGTGTGCACCACCACCCATTTTCAAAATTAATTTTTTTTTTGGTTTTTCAAGACAGGGTTTCTCTGTGTAGCTTTGGAGCCTATCCTGGCACTCGCTCTGGAGACCAGGCTGTCCTCGAACTCACAGAGATCAGCCTGCCTCTGCCTCCCGAGTGCTGGGATTAAAGTCGTGTGCCACCAACGCCCAACTATCAAAATTATTTTTTTAATACAGAGTTTCTCTGTGCAGCTCTGGCTGTCCTGGAACTCACTCTGTAGACTAGGCTGGCCTCAAATTCAGAAAAACACTTGCCTCTGCCTCCCGAGTGCTAGGTTTAAAGGCTTATGCCACCACTGCCTGCCTTAAAGTAGGTTTTTAAAATTAATCTCGAGTGAAAGAAAAAAATATCAGACCTGTGAGAAAAGCTACAAAGGCAGTGAACCTTTTCTTTTTTCTGTTTCAACAGCTATGTTATTTCAGCACCCAAAGTCTTCCAGGTTGGAGCATCCGAAAATGTTGTAATTCAAGCCCATGGCTACACCGAAGCATTTGATGCGACAATCTCTATAAGAAGTTATCCTGACAAAAAAATTACCTACTCTTCAGGCTATGTTAATCTATCTCCAGAAAATAAATTCCAAAACTCAGCAATGTTAACAGTATGTATTTATTCTTCCTTTCCTTTATGTACTCTTGGTAAAATCTGTGCAAAGCTTGAACATTGATAAAATTATAGTCATTAGTATTGTTCCTCAATTGTGTGGTTATGAGATGGTGAACAATTATTAGTGATGAGGGAAACCCAAACTCCGAACAGAAAAAAATCACATCTCCTCTTGTGAGCCAAGTGTGTCCATGTCCACATCCTTAAAAATAAAATACTCTCTATGAAAATATTTGGGGATGAACTATAATACTCTTTTTAATTTAAATACAAATTTAACTGGAAATACTTTTGAGGGGAAAACTAGGAAAAGTGAGATATTAATTGAATATGCATATGGGTGTTTGTTGAATGTTTGCCAAACGTCATTATTCTCAAAGTGTAGGTATAGTTCCCACTTCTGCAGCCAACAATTCTCACTGCAAACACAATGAGTGAAAAGAACAAAGTGGTCAAATAACTTCAAATGCCATTGAGACTTTGGGGTTCAGATTGGTTAGACGCTTGAGTTCCACTTTTATTTTCTGAGCATGCTCATTGTAGATGCTGATGGGTTTCATAAAGACAAATTCTTACAAGAGTGTTGTGTGCTTTGACCACTTTTATCCCTCTCAGTCCTCCTCATCCACTCTCCTTTTTCTCCCTCCTGCTAGCATGCTTCTTACTCAGGGCTCCCTTCTATTTCCTTATGTCCTGTGTCTGTGTGTGTGTGTGTGTGTGTGTGTGTGTGTGTGTGTGTGTGTGTGTGTATAATGAGAGAAAAAATAGAAACACATAATGCTTGTTTTCTGAGTCTGGCTTATTTCATTTACTATGGAGATCTCCAGCTGCATCCATTTCACAGCAGTTTTGTCCTTTGTGGTGGAATAAAACTCCACCATGTGTATATCCTGCATTTTCTGTATCCATCTACCTGTTGATGGACAAGCAGACCGTCTTCATAGTTTGGGTATCATGAATAGTGCAATGATAAAGATGGGTGTCCAAGCAGGTCTTACCATGTTGACTCTGTTCACCCCTGATACATGCCCAAGTGCTACAGCTGGGCCAGAAGTAGCTCTATTTTTAGGAATTCCACACCTGTTTTCTTAGTGTCTGCACCAGTTTAGTCCCTCTAGCAATAAGGGTTCTCTTTCCCTGCTTCTTTACCAGTGTTTCTTGTTTTATCACCATTTTGAGGATAGCTGTTCTTACTGCAGTGAGATGGGATCTCAGTTTCATTGGCATTTTCCATAAGGCTAAGCACGTTGGACAGATTTTCATATGTTCATCAGCCTTGTATGCGTTGTTGCTTATGAGCTGTGTGATCATTCACTAGCCAGTTTATTGTTTATGTTGTTTGGAGTTTTGTTTCATTTTGTTTTAGTACTTAGTTTTAAAAGTTCTTTATTCTAAGTTGGGCACAACTTTAATCTCAGCACTTGGGAGGCAGAGGCAGGCAGGCAGATCTATGTGAGTTCGAGACCAGCCTCGTCTACAAGAGCTAGTTCCAGGATAGGCTCCAAAGCCACAGAGAAACCCTGTCTCGAAAAACAAAACAAACAAGCAAACAAAAAGTCCTTTATTCTAGATAATAATTCTCCATCAAATGTTTAAGAAAAATTCTCCTATTATGCATTACACATTTTCACTTGTTTCCCTCGTTGTACAGAAAAATTAATCATTTCTTTCAATCATGTTTGTTAGTTCTAGGTGTTATTGTTTCCTGAACTCTTGGGGTCCTGTTCAGAGAGTCCTTGCCTGTGTTTGTATCTTGAAGTGTCTTCCTATGCTTTCCTCTAACAGCTTCAAGATTTTCTGCTCTTACATTAAAAAGCAAATTAGAACAGCACTATTCATTTTTATTTAATGGGATAGTGTGGGCAGCACAGGATCAGCTGTGACTACATCTGGGGTTGGGCATTTTTAGTAAGTTTATTACTGTTTGAATCTCATTGACTTGTTTTAGATTAGTTTAAGTTGCACACGTTCTCTTAATTTCATTTTGTTAGGTCATACATGTCAAGAAATTTATCTATTTCTTCTCTTCATATGTGCTTCATTGCACTATTCATTGGAAAATAGGCTTTCAAAACTTATTCCAACAAGTTGCTGAGTTTTGTTAAAAATCTGTAGTAATGTCTATCTTTTCATCTCTAGTTTTAGTTTATCTATCAGTCTATCTATCTACCTACCTATCTTCATCTTCATTGTCATTATCTATCTCCGATAGCTTGATAAGAGCTACTGAATCTTATTTCTCCTTTAAAATTAATCCTAATTTCAATTATATGAATGTGTGGGATGAGTGGAGGTGCCCTTGGAGATCAGACATGTCAGATCCCTGGAGTGGAAGTATAGATGGCCGTGAGACACATCTGACACAGGTATCTGGGACCCTCTTGCAAAAGCAGTACCCATTCTTTGCTAGTCTGGCTTATCTTTTCAGAGAAACCATTTATTGTTTCACTGATTGATTCTTCATGTTGTTCACTTCTTTCAATCCACTAATTCGACTTTTGGCTTGTTCATTTTCTTTAGGACAGTGAAGTGCATCATTATTTGTGATTGTTGGGGTTTTTATAGGCAATTTTTAGCTGTAAAATCCCCTCCCATAACCATTTTAACTGTATTCCCAGATTCTGTTGTTTTCATTTTTATTTGATTCTTGGAGTTTTTAATTTCACTCTTCATCTTTGGTGACTTGCTCATTATTTGGTGATGTGTTGTTCAATCTGCATGACTTTGCATATTTTCTATAATTTTCCAGCTATTTATTTTTAGTTTGAGTTCATTGTCCTCAGATAGAATGTAAGAAATCATTTAAAAGTTTTTACTCAGCTAGACATGTATGTCCTAAAAGGTGTGTACTTTAGAGAAAGTTCTGTGAGTCATTGATAAAAACATGTTTCCTTCAGTGTTTGGGTGGAATAGTCTATGAATGTTTTGTTAAGTTCATATGACTTATAATAGTATTTAAACCTGATATTTCTTGGCTGATTTTCTTTTGGTCTGGTGAGAGTATGATGCTGAAGATAACTACTATTGCTCTGTTGATGTCAGTCTGTGCCTTGCATCCAATGTTGTTTGTTATATATCTGGCTGTGCTGATGTCCAACATACATACATATGTCTGGGATTGAATGTCTTCCTAATGGATTGTTGCCTTAATTAATACGAAGTAGCTTTTTAATCTTTTTTGACTAGTTTTTTTTTTTTTTTTTTTTTTTTTGGGGTCAGGGTTTCTCTGTCACTTTGGAGGCTGTCCTGGAACTACTCCTTGTAGACCAGGCTGGTCTCGAACTCACATAGATCTGCCTGCCTCTGCCTCCTGAGTGCTGGGATTAAAGGCGTGCGCCACCACGGCCTGGCTTGACTAGTTTTTAAGTTTATTTTTTCAGGTGTCATGGTAGCTACGCTTGCTTGTTGGCTAGTGCTTTTGCTCTGAATTCCTTTTTCAACTCTTTCACTCTAAGGCTGTTTGTCTTTGCCAGTAAGCAGTGTTTCTAGCAGTCAACAAACAGATAAGTTCCATGGTTAACATCAATCTGCTATACTGTGTCTTTCAATTGGAGAATTGAGACTATTGACATCCAGTCTTACTACTGGAAGTTGTGTTAAATCCTATTGTTTTGCTGTTTTGCAGTGTTTGGCTCTTTCTATTCCTTAATCATGCAGTTCTAGTGCAGCTTATTCTTTCTTGTGGTTTCATAGATGTGATCATCTTTCTTTTCATTGTGGCATCTGTGATGCTGATGTCTGGTCATAAATTCCTTTAGTCAGTGTTTATTGTTAGAAGATTTTCTTTCTTCTTTAATTATGAGGGAAACCTTTGCTGGATATAGTTATCTAGTTTGGCAATTGTCTTTCACAGCTAAAAATACATTGTTCCATATTCTCTTGGTATTTGGAGTTTCTGTTGAAAAATTTGCTGTTATTCTGATGTGTTTTGTTTTTATAAATGATTCTGTGTTTCTCACTTGCAGCTTTCAATATTCTTTATTCATTCTATATACTTAGTGTTTCAATTATAGTATGATGTGGAAAGATTCTTTTCTGATCTAATGTATCTGGAATATTAAGTGTCTTCTGTTTCCAGAAACCTATTTCTTTCCATAGATTTGAAAGTTGCTCCATTTTGATTTTGTTGAATATGTTTCCTAGGCTTTTTAGCTTGATCTCTTCTGTGTCCCTGAACTATAGAGTTGTTATTTTCATGGTGTTCCATAAATGGTGTATGCTCTGTCCGTTCATGTGTTATTGTTCTTTTATTATAGCCATTGTCTGGCTTCTCTAAGTTTTCTGTATTACCTTTAAGCCACATCTTCTGCTTGATACACTCCTTTGGAAAGGCTTCCTCTGGGTTTCAAATTCATCTTATTAAGGTTTTAGTTTCTAAAAATCTCAATTTGTCTTTTTTTGCAGATTTTTTTATTTGAATTAGAAACATGATTATTTTACATGTCAACCCCATTTCCCTCTCCCTCCCTTCCTCCCCTACCATTCTCCCCAACTAAAACCCTACCCATTACATGTTCTTTCTCTGGAGGGTAAGGCCTTCCATAGGGTGTCATCAGAGACTATTGTATCATTTGGGCCTTGGTCCATCCCGTGTGTCTTGGCTCAGGGAGTATTCCTCTATGTGGAATGGGCTCCCAAAGTCCACACCTATGCTAGGGATAAGTACGAGAACTACTACCTTAGATTTCCAAGGTTTTCTCACTAAAACCCATGTTCCTGGGGTCTGGATCAGTCCCCTGCTGGTATCCCAGCTATCAGTCTGGGGACCAAGAGCTCCCCGATGTTCAGGTCAGCTGTTTCTGTGGGTTTCACCAGCCTGGTCTGGATCCCTTTGCTCATCATTCGTCCTTCTCTGAAACTGGATTCTAGTTCAGTTCAGTGATTAGTTGTGGGTGTCTGCTTCTGCTTCCACCAGCTGCTGGATGAGGGCTATCAGGTGGCATACAAGTCAGTCATCAATCTCATTATAAGGGGAGGGCATTTAAGGTAGCCTCTCCTCTGTTGCTTAGATTGTTAG